TAATGTGATAAAAACAAAAAAACAAACAAACATGAATTTTCACACCCGAGCCTCAACTCTCCTGGCCCGGTACTAAACGACTGGCCTGGGGGTTGGGGACAGCTAACTTAAATGTCTGAAAATTGTTTGCACTTATTTTATTTCAGGTCCTACAGAGTCTTTCTGGGACTTCATAATTACAACAAGCAGAATGACGTACAGCATGTGAATGTGCCTGGGGAAAATGCATTTCCACAGAAAGACTATGATAAAGCTGAATTCAAAAATGACATAATGCTTCTGAAGGTAAAATAAATGAAAATAATATTTAATAACAGACTTTACAGTGTTATCATCCTAAATGTGGTTTCTTATCTTTTTTGTTCAATTGAACAAAACAGCATTAAATAACATTTTTATCTCTCTTTGTTCCTGAAGTTGAGTACCAAGGCAGTGTTAAACAAGAATGTGAAACCTATTGATCTCGCAGACCGTGATGACAGATCGCTGCCAAAATCATGCATAGTCTCTGGTTGGGGAAGTACAGAAAACAACAAACACCCATCTCTCAAACTTTTGGAAGTCAATGTAACCCTGGTTGAAAATGAGATGTGTGTTAAGGAAAATAAGTACTGCTCAAAGGACAAGGGTGGCCCAGGTCATGTAAGTGTTTTTTATTAAACCTTTACTATAAATAAATTAATTTATTAATTAACAAGTTTGGTAAATAATGATAATCAGCTTACTGTTGTGATTACACTTAGTTATGGTCCAGTAACTACATAATGTATTGTATGCTTGTATTTCCAGGGAGACTCTGGTGGCCCATTAGTCTGTGAAGATGGAAAGGCATATGGGGTGGTGTCCGCCAGCAAGCTAAACCCAGATAAATCAGCAATTTATAGTTACACTAAGATACCTGACAACCGAGACTGGATTGACTGCATTATGAAACATAATTAAGATAAAATAAACCATGTAAAACTTAGCTGATCAAACCCCAGTATTAGAATTTGTGCTTGGGTTTAGCTTGAAAAAGAAGTGATGCGATACTGCGTTAAAATTAGATAAGTGAGTTGTTTTGGTAGATATGCATCAAAAAAACTTAAAAAAATAAAAAAAAACTTAAAAAAAACAACAACACAAAACAAACATACATTAAGTTGCACATTAGTTACAGTTAAGTAGAATCTGAACTTTTACTATATACTCAATGCTGTTTATTAAATGAGATGCTGATGTTAGATACTGAATTACCTGATTTGTTTTGTTTTTAAAAAGGCCTGTACTTTAAAGATTCTTGTTTCTTTTAGATTCAGGATGATTTGTTTGACAGATGTTATTAAAATTTTGCATTTTCACTGTTTTTCTGTTATTCCAACTGACTTCTTTTCATCATCCATTAGCCAGTCTTATATCATTATGTCATATTAATGGCATAAAACTACAGGGAATACATTAGAATTATGAATTAATTAGAATTTAGAAATTCTGATTTCATTATCGATATTACTTATTGTTTTGGTTCCCATATCGATTCTCATTGACTTTACATTGGCTGCAGGTGTGAATGGATTGTCTGTCTCTACAACAGTGGTCTTCTTAAAAGTGGATATCTGTATAAAAAGCTTTAGACATGTTTTCTTTTAGTGAACCTGAAGTACGAGTACTTTATAATATGCCTGGTTTATCTAATCATTAGTCAATTAAATGGCTAATTTCACTTACACTGACTGAGTCTCCTAACAAGACATTAGTCTATGTTTATTAAGCTTCTGCAGAAAGAACAGTCAGCACACAAAGAAGCAAATGCATCAGCCACTGAATCTGCCTGTCTTTGTCACAATTGTGCTGTACACAGACATATACACTGCATGTATTAACATGCTGGCTACACCGCGGATCACACAAACCTGTCAGGCACAGCTTGGGTTTCCAGTGAGTTCAGCATAGGTACTACAAAATGCTTAAGATAAGATAAGATAAGATAAGATAAGATAAGATAAGATAAGATAAGATAAGATAAGATAAGATAACCTTTATTAGTCCCACACGTGGGAAATTTGTTTTGTCACAGCAGGAAGTGAACAGTGCAAAAGTTATATAGCAAAATTAGAATACAATAAGAATAACATACTGTACACAACTGTACAGAATAGAATAAAATAAAATACTATATACAGTAGAATAAATAGAATCAAATATACAATAGGATAAAAATAGAATGCAAATGCTATATACAACTGAGTAAAAATACAACTTTGTCAGAAAAAGAGTATTGCACTTAGTGTTATTGCACATGTGTGGATGTGTGTGTGTTAGATCAGTTGGAGTCTTTGTTGTGGAGTCTGACAGCAGTGGGGAGGAAAGACCTGCGAAATCTCTCCGTCCCACACCGTGGGTGCCGCAGCCTGCCACTGAAGGAGCTGCTCAGTGCTCTCACAGTCTCCTGCATGGGGTAAAAATAAAATGGTAAATGGCCTGTATTTATATAGCGCTTGACTAGTCCCTAAGGACCCCAAAGTGCTTTACACATCCAGTCATCCACCCATTCACACACACATTCACACACTGGTGATGGCAAGCTACATTGTAGCCACAGCCACCCTGGGGCGCACTGACGCCCCAGGGTGGGGGCGCACTGGGGTGGGAGATGTTGTCCATCAGGGATGACAGCTTAGCCACCATTCTCCTGTCACTCACCACCTCCACTGGGTTGTTGTTTGTTGTTCAGATGAACACCAAGGTACCTGTAGCTGTCCACAGCCTCAATGTCCATACCTTGGATGTTCAGTGGTTGCAGTGGAGGATTTTTGTGCCTGCGGAAGTCTACCACCAGCACGTTGGTTTTACTGGCGTTGATCTGGAGGTAGTTCAGCTGGCACCAGTCCACAAAGTCTTGGGTCAGTCCTCTGTACTCCTTGTCGTCCCCATCAGTGATGAGGCCGACTATTGCAGAGTCATCAGAGAACTTCTGCAGGAAGCACTGGGTGGAGTAGTGGGAGAAGTCTGCAGTGTAGATAGTGAAGAGGAACGAAGCCAGAACCGTTCCCTGTGGGGCCCCCGTAGGGATAGCTCAGTAGGTAGAGTGGTGGCCCCATGATCGGAAGGTCGGGGGTTCGACTCCACTGAACGGCTACCCTGAGGTACCCCTGAGCAAGGTACCGTCCCTACACACTGCTCCCCGGGCGCTGCACTGGTGGCTGCCCACTGCTTCACTGGGTGAATGGGTTAAATGCAGAGGAACTATTTCCCTATGGGGACTAACAAGCTCACTTTACACTTTACACGTACTGCAGACGACCCTGTCCGACACACAGCCCTGAGTCCTCATATACTGTGGTCGGTCTGTGAGGTAGTCCAAAATCCAGGTAGTGAGGTGATGGTCCACTCCAGAGTTCTCCAGCTTGTCTTTCAGGACCGAGGGAAGAATAGTATTGAAGGCACTGGAGAAATCAAAGAACATGATTCTCACAGTGCTTCCAGGGGTCTCCAGGTGAGCAAGGGAACGATGTAGGAGGTGAATGACGGCATCATCCCTGATGGCAGCTTCCCATCCAAGTTGGGTATTGGGTGGGATTGGATGTGTTCAGGTCACCAACTCCCTTTTCTATGACTCCCTCTATGGTCAGTCTATCTTGCTGTAGCCAACATACACAGCATAGTAGCAAAGCACAGCTTAGCATATCAAGTGAATTTTAAATCATATTGCGTTTCATCTATCTATGCCACACTAAATGAATGTTGGGGTTAGAAAATAATAAAAGTTAACTTCAGTGGACAACTCACAACTATCCCTTTTACGATTCATTATTATCTGTTACATATAGTGTTGCACTATATGTGCCTGAAGCTTGGAAGGTATAGCAGCTCATCTACTAATTGGAAGGTTGGTGGTTTGAACCCTGCCTGCTCCATTCAGTATGCAAAATATCCTTAGGACAAGATATTAATACCAATTTGCTTGTAGATGCATTCATTGGAGTATGAATGTGTATGAGTATGAAAAGTAGAAAAGTGCTAAATAAGAAATTAGAACAGCCAGAGCTATCATAAACACTCTAAAGTGTCCACAAGAGGTCTCTCTCCACCATAAGAAGGTATCTATCTGTGCATATTGTACAGTACATGGGTACCTATAACAGCATTGACTACATGGCTATCAACTATTGTGAAGATCATATTACCTTAGTAATATTAGTGTTTGTTAGATGTAATAGGGCTGCACTCTGGACAGGTCCCAGTCTGGCTCAGGATATTTGTGGTCTGAGATGTTCCCAGAGAGGCGGAGGTCCCGTAAGCATGCTGTATTACTGTGTTACTAAACCGTGATTTTGTTTGTGAGAGTGTCTCATGACAATGATGTGCGTGCGATGTCCGTGGCTGCAACAGACGTATGTAGATCAACAACGGATAATATGGAGTGTGTGACAGAGTACAACCATGTAGTGTTAAAAGCATGGAACTACTGACATTCCTTCAATTTTTACTCCATAAAAAGTGACAAAAACATTAGTGTCCCTACTGTGGGAAGAAAAAGTAAACTTCAAATCTGAGCAAGCACCTAGCAAGCCGCCACAGGAATGTGAAAGTCACAGAGAAACCCGTGGATCCCCCCACTGACATGACCACTGCAGCACCGGGGAACTCCCCAAATGCTCTGCTCCTGCTGAACAGGTGAAAAATAGATTTAAGAGCAACAGGACTTAGTGCTGCTGCTTAGAGCTTTAGTTTTTGCTGTGTTTTACGTTTATCTATTTGAAACAGTGAGTGTAAGCATGTAAGCATATAAACTTCTGAACCATAGCTATACTGTAGATGTTTATGTAATCCAGCATTAGATTCAGGTGCTGCACTCTCCCAATGACATTTGTAACAACACCCTAACAATTTGAATTATAAATCTAATATATAAAAGTTGCAACTGTTGAATGCTTTTGGTGTATGATTAAAAAAAAGATCAACTCAAAACTGAGAGATATCTCACAGCAATTTTACAACATCAGACAGGGGACACAGTTTATAACAGTAATCTAAACTTCATCTTATAAACAGGATGCCAAGAACATTTCAGCACATGTCGCCAAGACAGACACACAAGACTGATGCTCAAACTGTATTTAAGTTGATAGCTAATGCGTCAAAAAACTATATAAGCTTAGGTATAAATCACAGTATATTGCGCTAACAGCCCACAATAGCATCTGGTGTCATTTCCAAAGGTTTAAGTCATGTCATTTGTTATAATAACATGTTTTCCATTATATTTTGAGCTATGTTAACATGTGGGCTTGCACTAGAGAATGTGACTCTATCCCAAACTGGGCAGCTCTACGTATTTCTTTGGTACACTCAAACCAGGGACAGTGGCAGTGACAGAGTTTTTTCCTGCATTATGGATTCTGAAATGGGCTGCCAATTCATTCCCGATCGCTACTTTTTCACCGAGATGTTGACTGCTCACAGCAGATAAAAATAAGACTCAGCCCATCAAGAAATGTCCAGGTGCTCTTGATGAACAGTCTGCCACTGGTTTACTCATGTTATCTGAGAATCCTGTTAAAAATATAAGCACTAACATATGTGAGGTGAACAATGTAACCTTTAATAGGAATTTCAAACAAGGAATTTTAATCTTTCAACATGAAGCTGAAAGAATCAAAGTCATCTTGATGCAGAGAACTTTTAATGTTCTCTAGTACTTTTGACCTTTCTTGCTGAAAGGACTGTAGTGAAATGAGTGTCAGCTGTCAGTTCTTGTTAATCTGTTATCATATATATGGATCTGTGTACTAAATGTCTCATTAACTACATATCTTTTTTCCTGCAGTGTTCTTGCGGTGTTTGCTGATATGCTTTTTGAAGCCATGTGCACCACTTATTGCAGCCTACACCGATTGCATGTCATCAGGTTTGCCTTCAAAATACCGAACAATAAACAATAAATAAATTAAGGAACGACTTCAGTCTATATAAAACTGAATTAATTAAATTAAATAGGAGCACCGTATAAGAACATCAAAACTGCATGCAAGCAAGAGTCAGCCACAAATCTCATTCTAATGAACAAAACATTTAAATTTCCTATTAGATATGTTGGTAGATCCTACAGCTTTATGCCATTTTTCTATAATGTTTTTGGAAGTCTGGAAGTCTTGTATGCCACTGGTTGAATACAGCAGAGATGTAAA